ATCCCTTCCAAGTGGATGACAGTGGTAGCTGGGCACCATCTAGTTCTTCTGGTCTCATAGTTGTATAGGTTGCAGATCAGATGGCAGCAAACTATATCTTGAGGCTCCATTTGCATTCCTAGTCTCTGTCCAGTTGGGCAAGTGGAAAGCACCAAGGTAAAAATACAGAGGAGCAATATGAAGTAGGGACGTTTAGTGGATCAAAAGCCTAGCCTCTTTGTGTGTGTGTGTTTGTGGGGAGGGTAGGATAAAGGGTTTAGAGTCTTGGACTATATAGAAAATTCATTTAACTTGAATTTTCATCTCCTTTTCTCTTTGGTTACCCAACCTTTCTCTAACATCTGATGTCTTGGTGAGAGGAATGGTGATGACATGGAGAATGAAAAGCTAGGACAGTAAAGGGAAATCCCCCACATCATCCCTTTCCCTCTTGTCGGGATTTCCAAATGGTGACCAGTGGACCCACACAGAATAGGCTGTGGGGTGAGAGGAACCAGGTAGGGAGCAGCTGGCCAGTGGGGAAGGCCTTCTTCCTCCCCTTACATATTAGAAGAAGGTGACCCACAGGATGGAAAGCTGACATTTGCATTATAGTTGGAACTCTGTATTCACTTTCCCTACCATAGCATATCTTGGGCCTTAGCTTGTGACCTCTCCCCATTCACCAAGGTTGGTGACCAATCTAAAAAGGGTCAAACCTCAAGATTCTGTGGTGTGTTTAGGGGAGACAGTCTGGTTGGTATGTGTCTCTGGCAATGAAGTCTCCTGAGGACCAATTAGATGTCTCCAAACCTTAGAAAGTTTTAGGTCTGGCAGGCCCTGTGGTCTGAAGCTTAGAACTAGAGCTCCTGGGGGACTTTGTAGGAGACAGATCAAGCTCCCACTGAGGAAGGATGTCCCAAGGCTGAACCTTCCCACAAGGGACGGAAAGAGAGAGAAGTGAACTCCCTGTTCCTATGAATGGCAGAAAAGTAGTAAAGCAGGTCCTATGTAGTGGGGGTGGCATCAAAGGGGATCTGGGGTCCTTTCTGGACATAAGAATCTTTGGTTTTGAGACTGCGTCATAGAGTCGGTATTGGAGAAGCACTCACTGCTGGGATGCGCAGAGTGCGAATGCAGCACCTCACTGTTGAATTTGACATCACAGGGATGTACCAGGTGTGGTGTGCCCTCTGGTGGGCTGACAACTGAGAGACCAGCCAGAGGCCGAGCTGCAAAAGAACCTAGTTTTTAGACTCTCAGAAAGGTAAAGAGTATGGCCTGGATCATCCATCAGCTTAGATGACAAAGACCCTGATAACAGCCTCTCCTCCAAGCCCTCGGGGAGGGCCAACTTCAACCTGCTACTATTGGTGGGAAAACCAAGATCCAGAAAAGTAACTTACCCCTGATTGTTCTGCTCATGTGTTTGTCAGCAGGTCCACCTGACCTTGGAATCCATATTCCTCTCACAATGCCAGAGAAGGCACTGGTAGGTACTGGGGTCATGGAGATGTCTCAGGGAGACCTAGAGGGTGGGCCTGAGAGAACAAACAAAACTAGAGCCAGAGCTAGATCCAACCGAACTTTTATTAGTCTCTGCAGCAGAGCCGGTGGAGCTCCCATGTCCAGGGAATCTTCAGCACACTGCTCTGGCTACCGGGCGGGAATGTTAGCATTTCTATTGGTGATGGGGACAGGGTTGGGGAGGGGACTGGAAGATGACCAAGTGGACTGCTGAGCCACCTGCAGTGAGGCACACATGGGACCTCCTGGACTGGGGAAATGTGGATCAGGCCCCAGAAGTGAACACAACCATCCTCTGAAAGGGATGCCTCCATATTCCCCAGAGGGAAGGAAGAAAGTAAGCCTGAGATGGTAACAGCCACAGCCACGGACAGAGGGCCAAGCTCTGGGGACCAGAAAGTCATTTCCTGATGGATTCAGTTTTATAGGGCTGGAGGTCCCAAACAGCTCACCTGTCCCCAGCCGGGGTGCTTTCTGAGCCTGAAGGAACAGGGCGGTGATGGGTAGAAATAAACTTGGGGGAATGGTTTGGGTATGTGTCAGTATTACTTTAAAAAAAAAAAGAAAAAGCAATACATTATAGGTGCAGTCATGAAAATTCCTTCCATAAAAAGCTCTCCTTACTCAGCAAGCTCCTTAGCCTGGAGGCCCAACCCAGCCCAACTGAACTCCCTTTTAATTCTTAAGACATACCATGATACTCATGGCTCTGCACCTTTACCAACAGCTACTCCCCGTCTACCTGCCCCTCTTGCCCCTCAAGCTTCCCTTCAAAGGGCTGACAACTCACTTGGCAAGTGTGCTTACTCCTGTTTTCCCCTCCCCAGGCCTACAGCTCCCGGAGGAGAGAGGGGTCCATAACTCCAGGAGTATTTGAAGCCAAATGAGATGTTGTGCCCTAACGTGTGTGGGGGAAATACATCCATATGAATCTATAAGGGATTTTTGGGTTGTCTGGCGGTACATGTGAGAATTTTGGGTGGTGTTGGTGTTTGTGAGATGACAGCTTCTTGGAATACGGAAGCTTGGGGATGGTCCACTCTTCTGAGGGGAAAAAGGAAGGGACCAAAGTTGAGCAGGAATTGGAATGTGGGTCGCTGTGAGGGTGGAGAGAGGGGTCTAGGAGGAAGAGGGGTTTAGCGACCTATGCCGAGGCAGGGCAGGGTTTCGGCTGAGTCCCAGGGCTCAGAACCAGCAAGGCGACCACATGAGCGAGCCCAGCGCGGCGCCCGTGGCGGCCCCCGCGAGCATGCCCATGGCCAGCGGGGCACCCGCGCTGTAGCAGGGATCCTCCCGTACTACCACGTGCGTCACGCCGGGGCCTGCGGGGAGAGCAGTGAGGGGCAGAGTCATCAAAGAGGGCAAACCGAATGACCTCCTTGTCCCCCTCCTTGCGCGACTCCACCCTAATAGAGGGCATTGAACCCTTGATCTTTAGGTGGGGAAACTGAGGACTTGACACGATAAGGGCTACGCTCCTACGACTTCTGGGCCTTGGTTCTGCTTCGGACATGCTGAGACCTTGGGGCTAAGGAAACTGGGATTTCTAAGTCCCTCCAGACCGCACGTGAAAGATGGGCGTTCCTAACCGCCAGACCCTGGAGAGGGAAGGAGGCAGCTGTTTCCACATTAGCCACCAGGGGTCGCTACCAGCTCAGGAACGGTGTTCCTGGCCTGCTGGGCGGAGTAGGGGTCGACCTAGAAGGGGGAGGGAGGCTAGTCCAAGAGCTATTCTGGGTCTGGAGTTGGGTGATAAACGGGAAGTTCCCGCCTGGGAAAACCCCAGTCATTAACAGATTTGGGCAGTGACGGGTCCAGTTCTTGGTCTACGGATCATGGGCGGAGCCTGGCACCCGTAGCAATGCGGAAGCAGGCCAGGCTAGAGACTCACCTGCGTAGGGAGGCCCGTAGTAGCTGCGGACGTAGGTGGCTTCGTGTGCATTAGGTGGCACCACCTCATAGTAGTCCTGGTACGGGCTGTAGACACGCACCTGGAGAGCCCCGCCAAGTTAGCTGCTCGTGAACTCCCTGGTCAGGGTTTAGTCCCCTACCCCCCAGCCCGGCTCAGGCCTCTCTGGGCCCCATTGGAACCGCTTCCCCCAAGTTTAAAATTGGGCTCCCCGAGACCAGCAAGCTCCTGGAAGAGTCCCTGCGTCCCCACACGGTCCATGGTCTTTGTCTTTTAAAACTTCATTCCTTACATCCAGTTCCCACTGATGCCCATTCTCCTGCTCTGGTCTCCTACCTAGCACTCCCCTGCTCAAAACTTCTCCGTGGCTCCCAACTTCCCTTCATAGTGTAGTATTTGCTAGCAGCTCTACAATGGTTTCACTTGGGAAAACCCAATGGATTTTTCCACTCTTCTAATCAAGGATAGGGGGACATGGTCAAGCACCACTCCCAGGAAGTAAATAGGGGTTAGAGAGGGAGAGAGGGAAGGTTAGAGTAGGAACGTGAACTACAGTAACTATCATCAATCATCTACCACATACCAGGTCCTGAAGGAGGTGTTCCTATGCATCACATCACCTCAATCTTAAGGCAAGCATTATTTCCCATTTTACCACAGAGGAGCAGCTGAGGCTCAGAGGAGAATTTCTGCCAATCCTTTAAAGTCTAATTCAAAAGTTGCCCAGTCCTGGAAGGCTCCTAGTCTCAGAAAGAATTCTTTCTTCCTGAGTTCTCTGTAGACAGTACCTCTGTTCCTACCTTTCTCCTGCCCTTTCCTGCCCACACCCCAAACGTGTACTACCTATAGGCAAGGGCTCTTAATTCATTTGTGCCACCTGCCGGGTCTAGCACATAGCAGAAACCAATAAATTTTGTGCTGAATTAAATGGAAGCTCTCAGTCCAATCCCTTCATTTTACCCACTAGGGGAGTAAATCCTAAGAGGGGGCAGGATCCCCTTTTCTTCTGGTTCCTTCCTCTTACCGCCTTCCACTACATCTCTCTTTCTCTAATTGGGCTTCACACCTGAAGGGTCCAACTCCCCTTAGAAGTCCAGGTGTCTCTAACTCCACACATCTCAAAGGGATTACATCATCTCTCCATCTCCCAAAACTGCTTCTCTTCCTGTAAATGCTTTTCTCTGTAAATGCCACCAGCATGCACTCCAACCAAAAACTCAGACAGTCAACCTTGTCTTCTCACACTTGCCTTCCATATCAAATCAGCCACCAGATCTCGTAATTTTATCTTCTAAAAATGCTCTTCTGTGCATCCTCATGGCCAATGCCACGAGAAAAAGCCATTGGTTTTAGCAACTTGGAAGTTCTGGGTGATCTTGAAAAAAAAAATTTTCAGAGGAGTAGCTGGGGGTAGAATCCTAACTATAGGGTTGAAGAAGAGTTCAGAGGTGAGGAATGGAATCAGTATGTAATGGCATCTCTTTAAAAAAGTTTAGCTATAAAAGGAGTTCTCTAAGTACATCATACAGTTTCGAGTCTCCCTGCCTTTGCTCATTCACGTCTCTCTGATAGAGATGCCCTTTCTCACCCTTTTTTCTTTCAACTACCTGACTTGTCTTTTAGATGCAATTCATGTATCACTCTCTATTGAACCTCAGGTTCTGTTGGGGTCTCATCTGGGTAACAACAGTCCTTGGGCTTCCCTTCATCACAGCACTTATCATTACACTATATTGTCACCGTTTGTGACCCTGTGAGTGTGTGTCTCTCCCATGAAACTGAGAGAGCCACCAAGGGCAGAGGCTAGGTCTACTCATGCAGATTGGGCAGAGCCTGGCATATGGTTGTTTGTTGTTGTTATGTGCTGTTGAGTCGGACCCGACTTATAGGACCCCTCCTTGGGTTGCCAAGGCAGTATCACTATGGAAGTAGATTGCCCAACCTTCCTTCCGAGGAGTGGCTTGTGGGTTTGAACCGCCAAGCCTTCTGGTTAGCAGTCAAGTGCCTTAGGCACTACGCTACCAGAGCTTATGGTAGATGCCCAAAGTGTTTTAAGTGTTTATTAAATTTAGTTCAAGTGAACCAAATATAGGGCCAGGACTAGAACCAAGGTCACCCAACTCTGAGTCCAACTTCAAGTTAGAGAAAATGAACAGTCCCAGATAATGAATAGGGCAGTGTGAGAGCCTTGGAGAAGCAATGCTGTGTGTCTTCAGTCTCAAATAATTCCCTTCACTACCCTTTCCTTAAGAGTGATCCATGACAGCTTCCTGGTAGAAGTGGCCAGGCTCTGGTCCCCATGCCCAGAAAGAGTCAGAGAGATCTAAGCCCTCAGATCCCCAATTTAAAAGGTAGGGAAGTCCGAGTGCCCATCTGCCCTGTACCCTGTAGCTGCAGTGAGCCAGTGGCTTCGGTCTGCCCTGGAGAAGGTGGAAAACACCAGCTCATGTCCCTCTGGGACACATGGCTCTACTTTCCAGGCCTGGGAGGCCCAAAGGCAGGCTCAAGTAAGTCACCTGGCAACAGGAAGGCAGGCAAGTTGAGGCCCCAGGGACTTCAGGGACAGAACCTTAGGGTTTGATCACTAATCCTTTCCTTGTTTGGAGGTGAAGACAGTGCCAGACAATCAGGGGTCTCATGGAAAGGTCCCCCTGCTTCAGAAAAGTTGAGTGTACTTAGGTTTACAGCCTTTTAAGTCCTATTTGTAAGCATCCTCCACTTTAAACAAACGTGTATCCTAGTTTGGGAGTGGGAAATGCCTCCAAGTGCTGGGCCCTCTCAGCCCTGCCACTGAGGAATTGAGGGAACCTCTCAGAGTTTCAATCTCATTTGTAAATGAGGACAGTCCTTCCCACGCTGCCCACTCCCAAGAGTCACATCTATGCAACTGGGTGCTCCAAGAACTTCTGGGCTCAGTGGTTCTACACATCAGAATCACTCAGAGACATTAAAAAAAAAAAAAAAAAACTACAAATTTCCTAGACCCTCACCCAAACCCACTGCCATGAAGTCAATTCTGGCTCATAGTGACCCTTTAGGACAGAGGAGAACTGCCTCATAGGGTTTCCAAGGCTATAAATGTTTACAGAAGCAGACTGCCTCATCTTCTCCCACAGAGTGGCTCGTGGGTTCAAAACGCTGACCTTTTGGTTAACAGCCAAATGCTTTATTTATTTCTCATAGCAACCCTATAGCATAGAACTGCCCCATAAGGTTTTCAATCTATACCAAAGCAGGCTGCCTCATCTTTCTCCCATGGAGCGGCCAGTGGATTTGAATGGCCAACCTTTTGGTTAGCAGCCAGGTGCTTTAACCACTGCATCAACCCTCCTTCAGCTCAATGCTTTAAAGGTTACCCCCACACACACACACACACCAAGACCTATAAAATTAGAGCATCCAGAAGTAGGATCTGAAATATTTTAAGTCCCCAAACGATTCTAAGGGCACCTAGGTGGTGTAACTGGTTAATGCGTTCAGCTGCCAACTGAAAGGTTGGAAGTTTGAGTCCTTCCAGAGGTGCCTGGGAAGAAAGGCCTGGCATGAGCCACTTCCAAAAAATCAGCCACTGAGAACCCTATGAAGCATAGTTCTGCTCTGACATGCATGGGGTTGCCATGAGTTGGAATTGACTCCCCAGTAACTGATGAAGCAATTCTGATGGGCCACTCACTGTGCTAGAGAAGAGGAGCTCACGACTGACTGTGATATCACAGGTACTCTAACTCAGGCTTCCCACTGCTGCCCACCCTATGCCAGGCCCTGTGCTGAGCACTGAGGACAGAGAGGATTCATACCCAAATTCTGCTTTTGAGAAACACTGCAAGAGGACATGCAGAGAGACAGACATAGACTAAATTATAATATGCAATAGGAATGCCAAAGCAGAGGTTTTCACTCCTTCCTTCATTCCTTCATTCAATAAACGTTCTCTCAGGCCTAATTGTGTCAGACCCTCATGTGCCAGGAATGAGGAGGGTCAGAATAGGCTATCCCCACCACAGAGCACTCACTGACCACCTGCTGTATACTCAACCTTGTGCCAAGGGCAGAAGTGATCAGACCGGGTCCCATGGGGGAGCAGATAGGCAGGAATGAACGGACTCCAAAGCCAGAATGAAGAAAGTACTAAGCATTAGTACCACTTGCTGGGTGGTGGGAGGGAGTGACAATGCCTGGTGTCTGATAAGTCCTCACTGAGAAGGCAGCAGCCTTTGAGGTGGGTCTTAAAGGATGAGTTTGTCAGGTGAATAAGGAAACTAAGGGTCTTTTTGGCACAGACAACAGTGTGTTCAAGGCTGGGCGAAGGACAGAGGTCTGGGACAGCTGGGAGCAGAAGGTCAGCATAGTGGTTGGAGAACAGAGGATAAGGGGGAAGAGACAGGAGAGGCTGGCCTGGGCCAGATCATGAGGGCTAGGAAAGCTGGGCTGTGGTTGTCCCATGGGTGATGGAGAGCCACGGAAGGTTTGTGAGCAGGGAAGGGATGTGGCCAGGCCCGGTTTTGGAGGCTCATCCTGGCGGCCAGTATGGAAGCAGGAAGGGCTGAGCCAGCACTTACCCAGATTCGCCTCTCAACCTTACAGGGACTCCATGAGCGGGTCACACACCTGACCTTAGGGCAAACCCGGCGGCTCCTAGGAGGGACTGTGGCTCCAGCTGGGGCCTGCTCAGCCACAGAAACCCAAGAAGGAGGGGGAGGGGGAAGTGTCAGAGGCCCTCTATAACCTAAGAGATTCAAAGCTCTTACCAGACCCTACCAGAGCCCTCTGCTCGTTGGGGTGAGTGAGAGGGGGTGTTGTCTTCTTCCCCAGCCCTTGCTAATGGCGGCGGGGGGGGGGGTGTTCAGAGAGGGATGCTGACTTCACCAAAGTTACACAGAGAAGAAGGACCAGTAGTCTTTCTTCAGAATTAGCACGTCTTCACCTTTTGGGGCAGCTGAGGCCCCCAGTCTCCAGGGAAGACAGGGCAGCTCTGATGTGCCCTCCCTCTCACTTGGACTTCTTTGCAGCAGCCCTCCCCCCAAGTCTTGGCCCCTGTGTTCAAGTCCTATGTTCTGTGGTACAGCGGAGGTCAGGGGCTCCTTCTGGACCCTCCAACCACAGTGGGATATAAACCTGCAGCGTGTAGAAGGACAAAGTAGAGGTCATTCCTATGCAGCTACCAAGGCAGAGAGAAGCCCACAGACACAGATGTGAATTCACACAGAGACAGGTGGACACAGGTACAAAGGCACAGACACAGGCACACACCTGTTCTGCTAAGGCCTGAGACCAGATGGGCATGTGTGTGGAACAGCAGGAAGTGGAATAGGGGGTAGGAGACAGAGAGAAATAGAGGTGGTAAGCTGAGCAGCAGGAAGGTGGACAGAGAAGGAACAAGATGGCTTCACAGAGTCACGGAGTACAGAACGGTCCATCCTCACCTCCTTCCTCTGCCCTCTTACAGGGGACTGATTTGCCCTGCATAAGGGGACTCTGAGGCTCAGAGCCAGATGAGCCCAACCCTGGGTCTCTCCATGCTGCTGACCACTGCTCCAGCCTCCACTCCCAACTTCCTTCAATCCACCCTCCACCTGCAAGCCTGAGTCTGCCTGCAAATCTGCCCAGTCCTCCCTGCTGAATGCCCTTTACTGTTCTTCACACCCTAAGGACAGAATGCAATTCCTTCAACTGGACTTCTAATTTATGATCATGATCTGGCCCCTGTTGATATCAGAGGTCACCTCTCCGATTTAATTCCTTCTGTGTACTTACCCTTCAGCCAGGCCAGCCTCCTGGTCCTTAGACGGATGCGTGCACACACGCAGGCACACATCACTTTCCTGCCCATGTCTTGCAGTTCCTTCAGCAGATAATGTCCTCCTGTCCAAATCTCACTGACCTAGTTTCCAACAGAGGCTATTCCATTGACAAGACTATGAGACTTCAGACAAATAACTTCCCCTCTCTGAGCCTCAGCTTCCCTGTCTATAAAATAGGACTAATAATACCAGCCCCACCCTTCCCCCTGCCAGGGTTGTTGGAAAATTAAATGATGTAACCAATGCCAGGTGCTTAGCACAAGGCCTGGCCTTCAGCACATGGCTGCCCGAGGGGGTGTCTAAATGCATCCCAGTCTCCCCTGCTACTTCCCCTTGGACTTTATCTCTAGATGAGAGGGGGCTCCACTGAACCCTAGAGAGAGGGAACAAGTGCATCTGAAGTGAGGCAGATGGAGATCAAGATCAGGCTATGCCATCCTTGATGCCCTGGGCAGCTCCCCAAACCCACCCTCACACCTCCATCAGTCACTAAGCTCTGTTGTGTCTACCACCTAAACATATTCTGTCCTCATCAGTTTGTCTCTGACAGCATAGTCTTAGTACAGACCTCTAGCCTACTAGGGTCCCATTCTTCTAACTGGTCTCCAATGGCCTCTCTTGCCCCTTATAATCCATTCCCTACTTAACAGCCAGGCTGCCTTTATAAAAATACAAAGTCAATCTAATCTTATCACACTATCCCTCAGTGACTTCCCAGTGCTCTTAGCAGAAACCAACATCCTTAACATGGCCCACAAAGCCTGACCCTGACCACTTTCCTACCCTATCTCCCTCTCACTCCTTGAGCTCCAGCTACCCTAACCTGTATTCTGTTCCTCAACTTGCCAAGGTCTTAAGCCCTGCTCAGGGTCTTTGCACATGCTGTTCCCTCTTCTTATCATGGAGGGTTATTGTGAGGAGCAGCTGGGAGGACACCTGCACTTCATCTGGCACATAATAGATGCTCGATAAAAAAGTCAGTTCCTTTCCCCCAGCTCACATGCCACCCCTTCCAGCAAGCCTCCTGGAGGCTTCTGTCTCTGCCTCTTCTGAGCACCCATTGGCTGTCCTTTATCCTTTCCCACCTAGGTCTCAGGGCATCTGAATCTGCACAGGTCTACTGGCACTAGATTGGGAACTCTTGGCAGGTGGAGACCGAGTCTGAGTCACCCATGATTCCATGGCAAATGGAGGTGAGAAGCAGAGAGGGAAGGGATGGGGGAGGCTCACCGGGGTGGAGTTCACCTCCAATAGCGCTGCCTTCCATGCCCTGCAAAAACAAACGCCGCCAGACCATGAGAAGGGAGCTTAGGAGAAGGGTGATTGGGTCCCCACATTTCAGACTTTCCTCTCCATGTCAGCCTCTTGCCCCAGTCCTTCACTGACCCTTTTGTGTAGACAAAGGGCCTCTCCCCTGCACCAGTCACATGGACAGAGCCCTAAGGCTGCCATCACCTAGAGCCCTAAGGCTACCATCACCTAATTCATTCATAGGCCATAGTCTCTTCACATCTACTAATTCTAGTTTCCCTATCTACAATGGGGAAGTTGGGAAGTTACAATGGGAAGTTGGACTTGGGTACCATCAAAGCAGCCTTCAGTCTGACCTGTCTGAGTGGGTTCTCTAGCTGCAGCCCACCTCCACATCCCAGTCCTACAAACACAGTCCCCCAAAGCTCTGACACCAGAGTGCCAGCAAAGCCCAGTGGACTCCAGACAATTGGGCCTTTGTTGGTTGCCATGGTGCCTGGCTGGGTGGACAAGGCAGCTCTGTGCTTTGTCCAGAGTTCAGCTTCCCTCCCTCCCACACACCCCATCTCTTTCACTCTCCTACAAGGCAGAGACCAAGTGACACCCTGCTGGAGGGTAGGAAGGCAAAGAATGTGCGGGAGCAGACTATGCCTGGGGGAGACACACCCAATCCTGTGTGTGGATATGCATCCGACATTGGGGTACCTGGGACACAGCCGAGCTGCCACTGGGTTGCCCTCTTAGATCAGAATCCCCCCTATCCCCACACCGGGGCAAGACCACAGCTATCTTCTCAGAAGGAAGTGGAAGAGAGGGCTCTTAGAGGGTGACACTAGCCTTGTCTGCTCCTTTGTATCAGCCCTAGACAAGAGCTCACTGCAGGGGCTGTCAAATACCTGACTCTGAGGGACCAGGGATGTGCACCCCCCTCAACAGTCCTGAATTCATAAACTGAGTGGGGAGTCTACTGTGCATCCAACGAATCACCATGAGCCATTCAAGCCTACTCTGTCCAGCCCCTAATGAGACAACCACACTGACTGGTGTTCATCCCCAGTTCCTACTCTCAGGGAACCAGAAGGTCCACTGAGGAAGGGTCATTTGGTTTCATCCCCCAAGATCCTACCCCACGTTCTCCTGGGAGTGACTCACATGGCGTCATCCCTGGTCTCTGCGCACAGGTGCAGGCGGGAGCCCTCCCGCAGATGCACGGTCAGCAGGCCATCTCGGCTCCGGCCCTCTGGGGGCTGTACGTCTGGAGGCAGACACACATATACAGGGTTTCCATGAGGCACAGACCCCAGGCCCCCACCCCCAGAAAACTGAGAACAATAACAAAAAAAACGACTTCTCTAGGTCCTATTATATGCCATTTCCAACCTCCTCTGAACCACACACTTTCTTTGGGATTCCACTCTATTCCTTGATCCGTTTTAGCCTTCCTCCATTGGCTGACTGCCTAGATACATCTTCCAGCTATCCTGTTGTAAGTGTGACCAGAGCTTTAGATGAGGACTGTGTGACACATGCTGTGTGACTCTGGGGAATCACTTACCTTCTCTGAACCTCCTTATTTCATTTTATCTTTATCCAGTTCCTAGGGCCTAGAAGGCAGGAACTGTGTCTGGCTCACCTTGGTGACTCCAGCACAGGGCAGGAACTCAATAAGGGATTGATATATTAATTCACACCCAAATGAACTGGAGTTAATAGAGGCCCAGAACCAATGTCTGTGGAACCCCTCCAAAAGCTGCAAAGAGCCTTCCAACACAGATGTCCTCAGACACAGTGAGAGGACACTGCCCCTAGTCACAGTGGCAAGGAGGAAGGGACATCTGCTCACCATGGCACTCTTGGCCAATCTTCACATCACGGACATTGAAGTGGATGAGCACACGGTCCTCCTCGTCCTGTGCGGTCTCATCGTGATAGTAGCCCAGGGTCCCATCCAGCCACAGGGCGAACCAGTTCCGCTTCCAGCGGCGGAGGATAGAACCTGTGCGATATTCCAGGTCCACCAGACAGGCTGATCCCAGAGCCTGCTGGGGGGGCAGGAGCCCCAGATGTGCTCCTAGGGTCCCCTCACCCCCAGAACTTAGTGTTATAACCACCTTTTCTTTATTTCCCCTTTGAAATGAGGGCAGAGGCTCTGTCTTGCTCACCCTATTCCCTCCCGTTGGGGCTGACACATAGTAGAGACTCAATAAATGTGCTGAATGGTAAACAGCTTTCAAGGGCAAGCCTCAGGTCTCTTCAAGGGTACAGCCCTCTCCCTACCCTAAGCCACCATCTTATCCCTTATTTCTAACTTATGTGACAGTCTTTTGGGCAGTGTTGGCCTCCTCCAATAGACTGAGGGGCCATGGCTTCCCACATAGGTCCTAGTACCCAACAAGATTTGTGTTCAGTGTTTACTGTACTGAACCAAACTGAGAATCACAGGGGACCATAGGGGTGGGGGTCCTAGTCCCAGAGATCTCTTGTGATGACTCTTGTTCAAATCATGCCTCTGATCCAAGGTGGATCAAGAAGACTGCACCCCAGTCTGAGATGATTTGCAATGGGAAATCTTAATAGAAAAGAACAAAGGCATAGGAGAGCTTTATAGATTCCAAAACACCCAATAGAGGTATTTTCCATTTTGTTCTGTGCTCTGTTCTGTGTCCAGCCCTGGCCTGAGGTGCTGTGAACACAGAGGGTCAAACCCCTCCTTGCCTTGAGGAGCTCACAGTCTCGGCCTAGTGTGGGCTAGGGAACTAGAGAGACCTACAGGTAAAGACAGTTATATTATACACCCAAACTCACTGCCATTGAGTGGATTCCGACTCATAGTGACCCCCTTTGGGTATCCAAGGTAGCAAATCTTTATGAAAGCAGATTGTCCAGTCTTTCGTCTGCGGAGCGGCTGGTGGCTTTGAACCAACAGCCTTCTCGTTAACAGTCAAAAGCCTTAGGCACAACACCACTAGAGCTCCTTAGTTGTATTATAGGAGGATGAATTTAATAACAGAGTATGTGAGGCATTGTGAGAGTCTCTAACCCACCCTAGTAGCTACAAAAGCAACAGACGTCAGGGGTTAGAGGGAGTTACAGAAGGCTGCTCAGAGAAAGAGACATTTGAGCTGTGTGTTGAAGAATAAGTAGAAGTCAACCAAGAAGTCAGAAATGGGAAGGATCTTCCCAGCCAGGGGGAGGACATGGATGGAGCAAGGAGGACAAAAGGCACTGGTTTCTTCTTAGGAGAAGGGTTCACTATGGCAGGCCCAACAAGCCACTTCCCTCACCCTTGCCCCAGAACCATGTGCTGGGGTCTAAGCGGAAGGACAGACAAGGGCTTGGCCCAGCTCACTTACTCTGTCTCCACAACCAGCCGCCCCTCACCAGGGCCATTTCTTCAAAAGGACTTTCCAGGGCGGAGTCGGGCGGGACCTGTCAGAGAAGCCACAGGACACACAGGCCTCATCAGCAGCTCCCAAGCAGCTCCCCAGAGAGAAGCCCCCCCTGCCCCGCCCTGTCCTCTCTGGGGGAGGCACCGAGGAAACATCCAAGGGAATATTAGTAAACGAACAAGGGCAAGGCCAACTCAGTCTCCTCCCCATTCTCTGCTCCAGGCAGACAATGGGAGCATTGTCCCTGTGGGGGCAGCAGGGCAGCTGATGGGTGATGGGGATTAGGAGCCTGGATTCCAATCTCAGCTCTATGACCTTGGCCAAGTCACTTCTCTCTGCCTCTCTGGCCCTGGTCTCAGTTTCCAGATCTGTGAATGTATGTCTGTGAGGCAGGTAAAGACTGGAATGAGGAACTCTTAAAATGTCAGAAACGCTGGAGTTTTGAAATATGGGCAGCAAAGAATATTAGAATCATAGCAATGAATAAAAAACAAACCAAACTCACTGCTGTGGAGTTGCATCTGACTCATAGTGACCCCTCCTTGGGTTTCTGAGGTGGTATCTCTAGGGAAGTAGATTGCCCAATCTTCCTTCCGAGGAGTGGCTGGTGGTTTTGAAGCACCAGCCTTCTGGTTAGCAGTCAAATGCCTTAGGCACTACGCCACCAGAGCTCCCAGAGAGAATTCATAATAAGAAAAGCCTCCCTGTTGGAACCCAGCTGAGCCATTTACCAAGAACGTGAAATAACAGCTATCATGGAGAACTATGTGCCAGGAACTGTTCTCAGGGCTTTCATCACAATGCTCTTTGTTATTATTCCCATTTCACAGATGAAGAAACTGGCCATAGGAGGTCCAGTCACTTACTCAGTTTCACTTGATTAGTAAGTGATGGAGCAGGCAGTCCTGGCTTCTAACCAGCCGTTCGCTGCCACCACTCCTCAGGAGGAAGATTGGGCAATCCACTTCCGTAGTGATGTTGTTGTTAGCGTTGCCACCTCAGAAACCCAAGGAGTGGTAGCTATGAGTCCAAGTTGACTCGAGGACAGTGAGTTTGGTTTTTTAGGTATACTAACGGAGGTTTTAAAAATCTCAATGCCCAGGTCACACCCCATGCCAATTAAATAAGAATGCCTGGGGGTGTGAGTCAAGTATTGACAGACTTTAAAGATCCCAGGGTATTTCCAATGTGCAGCAAAATTTGTGAACCACTGCACCTGATACAGCCTCCTCCTGGTCCCTGCTATAACCTTGTTAGAAGGGTAGGGTTACTTGTCTTTACTCAAACTTGTCCGAATGTGCAATGAAACTTGGAATCCAGGGGCCTTCGTCCCTGAGGGCGACTTACTTGACAGCAGGTGCCTCTGCCCCTCCCCCACCTGCTCACACCTGTTGCTGCGTAGCAAGGTGGCACACCTAGGCTGGAAGGCCTTCCTTGTCCTCTTCTGCTCTCTCCGGTCTCCAAGCCCTGACACAGCTCAGACGAGACTGCAAACTCTTTCTCCAGTCCCCCTTGATGCACCCACCTGTCTACACCTGTAGCGGATGTTGTTGCCACTGCGAAGGCTACTTGATGCTGCTGCCACCCTACCCGCTGCGCCTGCGTTTTGTGTGCCAGCGAGCCTGAAGCATTCCACTCCCCAAGCGTCGCCTGGGGCCTCCGCGCTTGGGGTCCCGCCCTCCGGACCCGCCCCACCCCCAGGGAGGGGGTGTGGCATGGAAGGATGCTCTAACCCGGCATGCTGGGACTTGTAGTCTGCAACCCTAGAGCTAGGCAGTGCACAGCCTCTCTAGTATCGCAACACTGTGAGAATCTCCGCCGGCGATTTTGTGTTTCCATTAAGCCATCTGTTCACTCATTAAAATTTATCACGAAATACTTCTTAAGAACCTACAAGCTCATTTTCTAGAAAAAAAATAAAGCTTCAGGGAGAAGCCAGTCTCTTACTTTTTTTATTTAAATAATTTATCTTTTTGTTGTTGAAAATATACACAGCAAAAATCTATACACTAATTTAAATCTCTCCATGAACAATTTAGTGACATGGATCACATTCTCGGAGTAGTGCAACCATTCTCACCCTTCTTTTCGGAGTTGTTCCTCCCCCATTAACATAAACTCACTGTCCCTTATCAATCTTTAGAGTTTCTGTTGTCAACTTATTCTCATATACATAGATCTTAAAAGAACATAAATCTCAAGATAACCATTCTTTACTAGTTAAGCTAAACAGCATTGCACTGGGTACTAGGGGACACAAAGGGGCACCCAGCGTGACCTTTCTTCCTCCCACACCCAGCTTTCAATCTGGTGGGGGAAATTAGAGGTAAATACACAATTAGAGCACACAGTGCAATTTAATAATGGGAAAGAAAAGACTGATTTTGTCCAAGAAGTTCAGGAAAGTGTCTCAGAGGAGGCTGAAAGGGTCTTGAAGGTGAGTAGGTGTTTCCCAGGGAGCACCTAAAGAACTCATATGAGCACAGGTCAGGAAATTCAAGAGTGTTCAGTATTTCAGTGTGTTTGGAAAGTGGAGTGCTGGGGTGGGGAGGACATGGGGTGTGGCAGGTGCTAAGGCTGCAGAGGTTGCAAGGATATACAAAAGCCATGGATGACTTGCTCAAGAAGTTGAACATTACATAGTGTCTAGAGCTTAGGGGTGGGATTTTAAGGTGAGGATCAGATTGAGATGGTCTGATTTGTGGGCTGGAAAGGTCCCTCCAGGGCATAGTAAAAAATGGATGGGAGGAAGTGCAAGTGGAGAAGGAAGACATATCTGTCTACCTACCACCTAGATCTGCCCCTCCAAGATCATTTCCCTGAATATCTCAGCTCTATAGATTCTACTTACAAGCAGACACAAGATGCCATTCAGGGGACAGGGGCTGTCAAGGCCTAAAAGGCTCCTGGTCCCACTACCTGCTTTGGGAAGGGCTTTTGCCCAGCCCTAGGCCCCTTCCTCCTGTCCCAGAGACTTCTTCCTTACCGGAGCTGCAGGGCTCATGGTTCCTGGGCAGCCAGGGCAGCATTTCCGAGAAGGCTTCTGCAGGGGCTATTTCCCTGAGCGTCTTAGAGATAAGGGGATCAGGAAGGTGCCACCAAGTGGGAGCCAGAAGGGGGAGGCAGAGAAAGGGGTACACAGATCCTGGGGAAAGTCATCCTCTTTGCCCCATCCCTTCTACAACCTGTCCAACTAATGCGTGGCTCTCACTCTTAAACTCACTGGCCAAAAAGAAGTCATAGGTAACTCTGAGGTGGTCTCTCATTGCCCAGATCCCTGGTGGCAGGAGAGGGCGGGCTAGCCCTCCTCCCTGGCTGCAAGGCCTGACTCCCTAATCCTCCGCTCCGCTTCTGACCCCAGGCCACCCTGATGCAGATGCCCCCTCCGTGCACTGCAGTGCGTGCCTTTCTGGGGGATTTGCTTTGGCCAATCCTATTAGCCACTGAGCTTATCCCTTCCCTGAAGCCCCAGGAACCACATCGTTTTCCCTTGTTCACTCTCTGTATAGACCCTGGAATGTCAAACTCCTGAATTCTCCATCCCCACAACATAAGGAAGGAAGGAAAGAAAGGAAGGGAGAGAGGAGGGGAACAGGAAGGAAGGGAGGGGTTCCTAAGCACCAGAAGTTCTGGGGGGGGGGGGAGGAAAAAAGAAACAAAAAAACTCCACATGACCTTTGCCCCAGGAAATCCAGGAAGGAGCAGGGTTGCCCCTCTCCACAGCTCTGCCTGCTCCCATCTATGATAAATAGTTGGGCTTCCTCTTTATAAAGGGGCTGGGATAAGGTGGGGGAAATGGTGCAAACAGCTCCTAGATTACATTATCTCAACTTAGAATCCAGCATTCTGGAGAAAGACCTCCCCCATCCCCATATCCTTCAAGGACAAGAAAAAAAGGGAAAGAATACTGGGCAAACTAAAACCACAGATGTCTCTACTCATCCATTCCATTCATATAGATCCTACAGGACAGCGGGGGAAGGAACTCTGTAGTATAGTGGTTAAGGCATGTGGCTGTTAATCAGAAGGTCAGGTTTGAACCCACTGGCTGCAGAAAAAAGATGGGGTGATCTGCTTCCATAAAGATTCACAGCCTCAGAAACCCAATGTGAGTCACTATAAGTCAAATCCCCCGGAAAGGCACACAGTATAGCAACTCAGTGGCAGTGAGTTTGGTTTTTGTTTTGGACAGAGTGGTATAATTTCATAGGGTTTTCAAGGCTGTAGATCTTCATGGAAGCTGACTGCCACATCTTGCCACAGAGTGGCTGGTGGGTTCCAAGCACCGACTTTTCTGTTAGTAGCCAGTTAACCATTGTGTCACCAGGCTCCTACAGATGCTGCTATAGACTCCAAATGGAGCCGGACCTGGTGTATCTTTCTGAAATGTTGGTCAGTGACCCTCTTTGAGAAACTGATAAAAGCAGTAGACTCTCCTCAGGGAAAAATGCATACACAAAGCCAGATCATTTTGCACATAATTCCTGGCATAGAAGCCATGATGCTCACTGTTGAGTATTTTTTTTAATCTCCAGAGCTCTGCAGATTTACAGAAAGAGTGTGGATGGGGGAGTGAGTGAGAGATGCTGAAACACAGCGAGAAACCCAGCTCAAGCAGCGCTGTCTGTGAGAGACTGACTCTGTTTAATCAGCTAAAATTTATTGAGCCCAAGAAGCCAACAAGTAACTTTCCCATTTCTATTGGAAAATGGTACGTAATACATGGTACGTAGAATCATTGGCAGAGAGAAAAGTATTTTGCTGTTTCAAGTGTCTGTGGTGGATGAATAGCTCACTCAGCTATTTGCACAACAGTGGGCTGGCTCCTCAGATTAAAATTTACCACTTACAGTTTCTAGACAGTATACTGTAAGGAGAATAATTGAAATTATATAATTTACTTTAAAAATCCTGAAATTTATATTGAGATGTAATTTGAACAAAAGCAAAACCACTCATGTAAAAAGTTTTTTTTAAATAATAGCTTTATTGAGAAATAATTCACACCGCGTAAAATTCACCATTTTAAAGTGTACAATTCAGTGCGTTTTTGCATCTTCACAGAGTTGTGCAACCATCAGCATAATCAATTTTAAAGCATTTTCATCACCCCCTCAAAAAGCCCATACCCTTAGCAGTCACTTCCCATTTCCCTCTAACTTCCCATCCCTAGGAGCTCTGGTGGCACAGTGCTTAAGGCATTTAACTGCTAACCAGAAGTTTGGTGGTTCAAACCCACCAGCTGCTCCTTGGAAGGAAGATGCAGCAATTACTTCAGTAACGATTTACCTCCTCTGAAACCCAGTGAGTCAAAATTAACTAGATGGCAGTAAATTTCCCCACCCCTACCCCAGCCCCTGGCAACCACTAATCCATCTACTTTCTGTCTCTACAGATTTGCCTGTTGTAAACATTTCATGTAAATGGAATTATGTAATTTGTCTTCTTTTGTGACTGGCTTCTTTCACTTAGCATAACATTTTCAAGATTTCTCCATGTTGTAACATGTATCAATACTTCATTTCTTTCTTTCTTTCTTTCTTTTTCTCCCAAATTTTTATTGTGATTTGAGTGAAAGTTAAAAGAGCAAATTCATTTTCCATACAGCAGTTCATACACATTTTGTCTCATGACATTGACTGCAATTTCTCACAATGTAGCAGCACTCTTTCCACTTGCTCCCCATAGTTACCTCTTTCCTATGTCCTCCCATGTACTCCTGCCCCCAAAACTGTCTCCCTGTGCATACACTGCCCTTTTGTTCTTCCATTATTAATCAGTCTCTCCAAGGAGCGTATCTGCCTGATGTAAATGTTCAGCCCATATGCTGGTCTTTTTCAATACTTCATTTCTTTTTATTGGTGAATAATATTCTGATGTATTGATAGACCACATTTTATTTATCCACTCATCAGTTGATAGACATTTAAATTGTTTCTATTTTTTGGCTATTAGGAATAATACTGCTTTGCACATTCGTTTACAAGTTTCTTTGTGGACATATGTCTTCATATCTCATGGGTATAAACCTAAGAGTGGAATTGCTGGGTCATATAGTAACTTTAGCTTTAACAGTTAGAGGAACTGCCACATTGTTTATCAAAGTGGCTGCACAATTTTACAGTCCCATCAGCAATGGACGAGGGTTCCAATTTCTCCACATACTTGTCAGCCCTTGTTATTGTCTCATTTTAGCCAACCTAATAGGTTTTGTTTTTCTGTGGGTGTGAAGTGGTATCTTATTGTAGTTTTGATTTGCATTTCCCTAATGACTAATGATGTTGAATTTCTTTTCATGTGTTTATTGGTCATTTGTACATCTTCTCTGGAGAAATGTCTATTCAAATATTTTGCCCATTTTTAATGGGACTATTTTTATTCTCAGAAAGTTTTTTTTTTTAAACTAAAATATAGATAGATAGATAATTCAGAGATACCTTTGAATAAAGAATAAATGAAATGACTTAAGGAACTGATGGTGTTTCAGGATGTTAAGTAGAAAGGCCATGTGGTAACTCACTTCCCTTTTCTGGATGAGAGTGTCCAGGGAAAATCCAATTCATGAGGGAGGATAGGGAAGACAACAACCCTTTGCTGCACAGGCATATTGGAGAGGGTCATCCAGGATCCCTAGACCAGGAGGGAGGAACAGGAGGTCTTCTTGCCATGAACTCCCCATAAATCCACTGAAAGCACTTGATTTGGGAGTGGTAGCCAAGGACAGGATTTGAGGGGAGGGGTCACGAGACCCTCTTGTCTCAATGGGAACAGCACCCCATGCCCAGGGATCAGGGGAGCAAATGATCTCTGAAAAATTCTCCATTCGTGTCATGCATAAGGATCTAGTTCAGATTTAATTCTTGTTTCTGTTATTCTTGGTCTCGTGTTTGCAATCTCTTGTCTTGAGCTGATGAAGTTTCTGTCAGCCTCCTGCACTCTTAATCAATGATCATGAGCGTTTAGTTTAAGGGGAAAAAAAATCTGGCTTTGAGAAGAAGAGATGGTTCTTTCCAGCTTTTCTTCAAGGTCTTTGACTCGCTCTTTGAAGGTGTCAGGTTCTTCATCCACGCATCATCTTGTCATTCGCTTCAGAACTTTCTTCCTCTTGCTCTAAATAATGATCTATCTGCCTGGCAAATAATGTCTCAAGAAGCTCCATTTCTTTCTCTTAACCAAGTTGTCACTTTCCTCTCTTCTGGAGTTTTTGATCTATGATTTCAATTGAGGTTTGCTCAGCCTGGAGACTCTTAAGATCATCTGTCAAGTCAATTTTCTGTTTTCTTCTTTAGCAATGTTGGCATAGAATTGATTTTTCTCTTCATACTGGATGTTTAAATGCACACTTGACTTTTCAAGATCAGTCAGTTTCCTCCTGGCTCCTTTTGTCTGGTCATAAATACTGCCTCCATTCCTGAGTCCAAGTTGTGACTCCTGTTCTCTTTTCCAAGGGAAGCTGACAGTCAAGTCATCTATCTTCAGCAAACATTCCTCTAGAGACTTGATCTGACTCTTCACACCTGTCCTGGAGTTCTGTATGAAGATCCTGAGTCTTTTTTCTATTTCCCATAATATTTTTCCCACTTGTGTTTTGAAGGATTTAGTTTCTGCTTCTAAAGACAAGATCTTTTTCATGGTATTGGATATCAGTTCATCTTTTTTTTTTTAGGGACATTGATGACATTTTTCATGTTGTGCCACCATTATTGCTATCCTTTTCCAAAACATTCCACCACCATTAGCATAAATCCAATGCCCTGCAAACAAAAGCTTCCCCTTTCCTCCTCCTTCCTACCCCTGGTCATCACTAATAATCTTTGGTTTCTATATATGTGTATATGTGTGTGTGTGTGTGTGTGTATTCCCCCCCACCCAACCTATCTTGGAATTTTTCCTCCCCTCCCTTCCTCTCCCATCCCTGGTAACAAACAAAGTTTCCTTCCATATATAAATCTTCCCTTGACTTTTTACAATAATGGACTAATACAATATTTGTCCTTCTGTGATTGACTTATTTAACTCAATATAA